TTTCAGCAACAGGCCTGGAGGAGACACCTAGAAATATCCAGCTCTTTCTCTGCCCTTGTTGAAAAAATAACCTCTTGGATACTGATGAGTCACGGGGTCACAAATAAGCCTGTGGGGATAGGGGGGAAGTTTTACAAGCAAAATGTGACAAAGAGCACACATTCTCTAAACACTTCCACATAGTTTCACATCTCAGCCTCTTCAAAACTAAGCAAAAAGGTTTATGTGTGCATCCCTCACCTTCGGTTTGTTTAAAAATAAATATTTTCAATTAGAATCCAGAGAAAGATCTCCAGGAGGGTAATTCAGATCTGATACATAAACACAGAACACCTGGTGGTGTTTTGTTGTTAGCGTATGCAAACAGCAAGCCAATTCATACCTGTGTGCAGTTGCACCAGCAGCAACTAATGTAAACCAGACTTTAAATTAAAAAATAAAATTAAGCGATGGAGAATTTAAAATACTCACTGAAACACTCAGAAATTTAAAACAAACAACATGACATGAGTTTCCGATTCCAGATGCTGCAGCTATTTAATGAAAATTTATAGAGTTGTAATGGTTACAACGCACAAGAAGTAGCAACTCTATGATGATAGGAGGCTGCCACCTCCAACAGACACATGCTATGGAAAAGTAGGACGGATTCCCCACTACTGAAAAACCTAAAGGACACAAAGTTGTCAGTTTTGCTGGAGGAATACCCACAGAGGCAAGAGCAGAGGAAGAACCAAATAAGCCTATTCTTGGGAAGCAGTATCACAAGTGAGGTACTTCACCACCACCACCTAAACCACAGCATTTCTGACACCGTGGAGGAGAACCACTGGTCCATGCAGAAGTGCACAGGGGATCTGGCAGCTTGGAACTGGACTAAGCTCAACTCATGGATTGACAGACTGTAAGTATTCAGATTTCCATTTTACATTGGTTAAAATTGTTATTTTTAGTTGAAGACGCTGGTATCAAGATAACTCTGCAAAGATACTGAAACTTTCTAGACTATGATGCTTAGTATATGTGTTGAGCTGCACATACCACTTGGGATTCAGACACCAAGCAGAGTCAACATCTGTGAGACTCCTTGACTCTAAAGTCCTAGAGAACACAGTGTCAGGGTAGAAACAAGAACTACACCTGTAGGTAAGCTTTCTAGTTATGTGGAGGCTATTCAAAGTCTGCATTTTATTGCCAGAGGCAGGAACTGAAATAAATCCTCAAGATCAGACTTTGGTCATGCTCTCATGAGAAATATCCTGCAGTAAGTATTAGAACTTGCTTGGCTGAAAAAGAAGGAATAAAAGCAAAACATGACTGTGTAGCATACAGAATATTGTATCCTTCCTTATACAACTTTAATGCATGGTCACAGCCAAGATTCTAAGTGAGAAAATTTTATAAAAAAAACCCCCAAGTACTTGTATCTTTTGAACCAGCACTGTCAACAGAAGAAGAAATCTTATCATCTCTTGCTTCTACCAGCACAAACATGTGTGGTAAAGCACATTAGTGACCTGCTTAAAACTAGACTGGTTTAAAAAAAACCCATAAAAACAACCAAACCACAGTTGGTTTTAACCCACATCTATTCCCCCATCTGTTTTGATATGCAGCCACGCAAACACCTACACTGATACAAGCGGCTAGAAGAAACTGCTCCCTTCAACAGCAGTGCTGGCTGAACGTGTAAATGAAACTTAAGACCTTCTGGTGTTTGCAGATTTTCTTACCAAAGTTAGCAAAGCAAAAGTTAGACTGAAAAACAGATTAGAGGCCAAGCTCAAAATCAGTACGAGACATAATATAACTTTACAGAAACTTTCAGATAAACTCTTTCTAGACTCTCCAAAGCTTGTCCCAGGTCACAATATTAGTCTCAAAATTAACTGTGCTATTGGGAACAAAAATCAATTTAAGAATCAGTAATAGATACAAAACCAAAACTTTAGATATAGCCCAAAATACATAAAAGCCAGTTAAAGAAATACAGCAAAGAACACAGCTATAAGAAGTTGGAAAATAAGGCCTTTTAAGTTACGTGAAAAAAAATCTAGTTATAGGTTTCAAGGAGAGGTTTTGAGCTGGCAAAATAAAGATTGAGATGGACAAGTACACAATACTGTAGTAATCTGGTTCCCCAGGTTTTCTCTAATACACAAATACTCAAGCAAAAGTGCTTGAGATAGCTTATTCCCCCTGAAAAATTAGCTTTATTACTTCAGGTAATAAATAATACCAAATTTTATAACTTAAAAAACAGTATAATAATAACTTCCTTCTGTAAGATAACCAGTCCATTTGTTTCCAAACAAGCTTCCCCTCTTTTACTTATTTATCAGAATAAGTGCATTCTAGGTCAATACCATCCATAAAAATATACTTAATAACCTTTTAGCTTTCATGAAATTAGACTTACCCTAAGAAGATGGAATAACTTACCTATTTTTCAGAGCTACAGATTTAAGACTTCCAAGCAATCAAGCATCATAAATTCAGCATAGTGAATTCATAGAAGCATCTCATGCTTTCTCTAAGCTACCTTCAATCTAGTTAACCTCCTGAATGCAATTTAAAGGCAGGCTGGGAGAGGGGGTCTTCCTTATTAGCTAATCATGTTAATTCATAACATCTTATCTCAAGTAAACATTTTAATACCTTCTCCTTACTCATGCTTTTCTCCAGATAATTCTAACAGTGAGGTGCTGTTGTTCGTCTCTCGTCTGATCATCTTTTCAGTTCAATTAATGATGGAGAATTATGGATCTCTTCTTGAGTTTGCAGGTAGCTATAAAGAAGGTGAAGGTGAATAGAGTTTAGAAAATAAACTTGACCAATAAGTGAGTGTAGATACTTGAAAACTTTCTTATTAAGCTTTTGAAGTAGTGACAAGGACTAGCTGAGCAATACCAGCTACTTACACCACCTTTCTTCGTCAGCCAATTTAAATTCTTAAGTAATCAAATTAGGTTGTTTACTAACCAGACAGGAGTTACCATTTATAGCAGCATGTAACAAACACAATCCCACAATTCAAAGGTGGCTCTTTTAAGTTTCAGCAAGTATACTAAAAAATAGAACAGGTAGCAAATTTATTCACACTGGTGCTTGACAATGTGCCAGATTAGTACAACTAGTATAAAGCCAATACCTAAATGGGTGAACTATTACCTGATATAATTTGCCCCCCAACATTTTAGTCAGGATGACAAATACCACATAGTCCCCAAAAAATGTTTCTTTGGATACTTCCATAAATTTTGCTTTAGAAAATAACGCAAAACCTTTTGCTAACCTAAGCAGTAGGAAAGAATTTGGAATGTAAGGTCAGCAAATCTACTGCTCTTTATATTGTGTGCTATGAAGTATTTCAATCATATCAATTAATTATAATCAATATATTATTAATACAATTCATAATTAGACTACTTTTGCTAAGGAAAGAACAAGGTCCATGATCTGACTTAAAACTGGTTAAATCAGTGCAAAGACCCGAATGGGTACCAAGTCACAATCTGAGTAGAAAACAAGTCTCCAAACCCCAGCCACAGTTGGACCTTTGGGACCTTTACTATTCAGAATAGTAAAAATTCAGTTAGTTAAAATGTGATAGTTTCTGATGTAAACACACATTCCTTTTAGTATACTACACTTTCTCCTCTGAAAGTGAGGCCTCAGAAGGAAGAGTCTGGCAGAGTCATTTGATGGAGAAAAAGCTCAGAAGAGTAGAGACCTTCATGCCGTTTTATGATGGCACCCGCCTCACATCGTTAAAGTTTTGTATTATTTGCCAACAGTAACAAGGATTGTTCTCTTGCCTCAGGTGCTCCCTTCCGATATTCCTAATGGCCAGGTTCACACACACGTTGATTTATCACATGCTAATTTATCATCACAAAAACAATTCTACAAATAGTGACTCAACCGCATATCTCAAACTGCGTTTTCTGTAAGAGAGCGTTACAGATCCTTTCCTATGTTTGTTTTAAGCAGATGTTAGGAGTCCAGTGATGTCTAAAGGCCTAATCACATTTGCAATTTAGTGCAAATATGAAATTTAGATTGGCAGGGCCTCAGACTGGATGTGACCTCCCGGCCTCTCCTCCTTATGCTATGCGGCGTAAACAGGGTATTTTGAAAGCCATACACACAAGGAAGATAAAATGTGATCTTTGGGAAGGCAGATGCTGGGAAGCATAAAATCGTGAGGGAACAAGATACGCTTCAATCTCATGAGCCACTTTTCATACATTTAGCACTCACATTAAGCTTGTTATGTAGGACTTGAAAATGAAAGCCAAGCCAGGCGCAGCACGAGGCGAGTGTGAGACAATCGTGACCACGAAGGCGATGATTAAACGCTGTGGGCTTTCTGTTTTCATAGCATGGGGGATGTGTGAAGGAGGATAAAGCCGGCGACAACTCCTGAGGGGAGCCTCAAATCAGTACAAAATATGAAAATTTAAAAAAAAAAAAAAAAGAGGGAAAATAATCGAAGAAGGGGCACAGAACTGCTATGATCTGACATAATTAAACTGAAATGGGGATGGAGAGGAGCGTGAAAACTGGAAAGTTTAACCCACTCGCTGAATACGACCCTGCCGGAGCCCCTCGGCTTGACGGGCCCCCTGGGGCGGGGGGAGAGGGCTCAGCCGGAACTGCCCCGCAGCCCGGTCCCCGACACCTCTACGGGCCTCACCGGCGGGAACGGCACCTCCCCAGGCTCCGAGACCCTGACAGCGACCCCGGGGGCAGGTGGCCGCCGCCTGCCCCGAGTGGCGCCTCCTCAGCACCGTCCTGACCCCTCACTGAGGCGATCCCCGCAGCTGCCGCCCGCCCTGAGGGGAGTCCCCTCAGCGCCCGCGCGGGGTCTCCCGGCCGGGGGGACAGAGAGCCGTCGCCCCCGGGGCGGGAAAGCGGCGGCGCCCCGCCACCCCTAGAGCGGCCGGCAGAGGGCGCTGTGCGCCGCCGCCGCTGCTCCCTGACGGCTGCGGCCTCTCTCCGCCGCCGCCTCAGCCGGTGGGCGGGAAGCCGGGCCGGGGCGGGCCGGAGCTCCCCGGCGGGCGCCATGGCGCTGCCGGCGCTGTCGAGCTCAGGGGTGAAGTTCCGGCGGGTCCTGGCGCATTTCCCTCAGGAGCTCAGCTTGGCCTTCGCCTATGGGTCCGGAGTCTTCCGGCAGGCGGGGGCCTCGGCCGGGCCGGGCGAGGTGAGCGGGGCGGCCTGCGCTGGGCCGGGCCCGGCCCTCGGGGTTCCCTCCGGCCGCCGCGGGCCTTGTGCGTTTCGGTTACCGGCGTGGAGGCGGCGCAGTGGGTTACCCGGAGCTGCTTGTGCACGGAAAGGAGCGAATTCTCCCCAAATTCCTATAGGGAGTTCGCGGGGCCGGGCCCAGCTGGAGCGCCGGGGTTTGCTGCCAGCCCGGGGAGGCCTCGGGGTGGTCCCTGAGGGTGGATTTGTCACCCTGTGAGGGGTTCAGGGGGCCCTTCAGCCTCGTGTCGGCCACCTCTGCCTCAGGACTTATTTACCCGTGGCTTTTAAAAAAGAGTTGGAGCCTCTGTTTGCTGTGCACTGTGTGAGGGTGACAGGCAAAATCCATTGCCACGCTTCAGTGGCATTCGTGCTGCTTCCTCATCCTTTCGTGCATTCTTTCCTCAGTAAAGCTGCTTGGAAATAGTGGTATTTTTTTTTAATATGGATGTGTTTTTGTTTTTAATGGACATGTTTGACCTTTTTAAAATCATTAATATGCAGTGTTGCTCATTACAGCTTGCCTATTAAGCACTCCCCACAACTGCGACTTTAAATGTATCTCTTCCCTTTCTGAAAAGGGAAAAATGGGATAAGAATTTCAGAGCTCTAGCAGCATCTCACACCCCCCATCCCCCAAAGGAATGGGGGGAAAAGGTAGCTAACAATATCTTTTCAGTAGTATTAGCTGGTTAGCTAAGATGCAGCCCAAAATTAATAAGCTGCAGAGGGCGGTAGGCCTAATGATTTTGAAGCAGTGTCACTCCAAATGTTGTAAGCTGTTACCTTGTCTGTGTGCAGGGAACGTGTGTGCAGATTTCTCCAGAAGAGCAGGGCATGCATTGTACACTAGGAGCCTCTGGAGTTCGGATTGTTTTGTTGACAAAAGCAAGCACGTAGACGTGCAGTTCCTTGCTGCCAGCTTTTTTTGGCTTTCTCTGCCCACATCTCCCAGTTCATGGCCTCGGATATTAGCAAAAGTCGTGTTCATTAGCACTTTAAACTGAGCACTTTAAACACTGAGTTGTGAGCTAGGATAGCATAGTGTTAAGCATAGAGCACTTAACCAGGACGGGAAGGTTTTGGACTATCTGCTACACTGACTACAAAACGTACAACTTCATAAGAACCTTTAAGCTATGTTGGACATTAATGCTTGTATTTTGTTGTGAGGTTTTTTTTACTCGTGAAAAATGATTAGCTGGTAGTTTGACACTATGCATATCTTAGATTAACGCTGCCTGCTTCCTGACATGTAAACCCCAATTCTTTTCTCCTTATCCACAGAACAATATGTTGGACTTCGTGTTTGCTGTTGACGATTCTGTGACCTGGCATATGATGAACTTGTTAAAGAACAGGAGTCATTATTCCTTCCTAAAAGTTTTTGGGCCAAAACAGATAAGTAATGTACAGAGCTACGGAGCAGGGATTTACTACAATACTCTAGTGCCATGTAATGGTAGGGTAAGTACAAGTAGTTTGAGTGAGTTAAGTCAAATGTTTGTATGTGAAATATTAAACTTATTAGCTTAACTAGCTACACTTAACTAGCTTGTCCAGTAAGTCCTCGTGCTTCTATGTGTAGGCTGTGTTTGGTAAGGAGGAGTGCAGGTAGGAGTCAGGGGAGAGGAACACGGGATCTGTCTGTCTTGGTGTTGATTTTGAGTAACTTCTTCCATGTGGTAATAAACTGTACATAGGGAAAGCAAGTGCTTTTAAGAAACATGGGGAATGAAATTAAAGCAAAGAACAGTCATGGGAAGATGCCACGTGAGCAATAGATACCTAACGGAAGTTTCTCAGAGCACAGATAGTTGTAGTATTGTTGGGTGACTGTCAGAATTCTTTGTAGGAAGTTGGTAGATAAAGTAGCCTGTTCCATACTTGCTGTTTTGTTTAAAGGCATCTGTGTGAGGCAAGAATTTGGGGTTTAAACCTTGTTCACATTATATAAAAAGGGATTTTGGATTTTATTTTAAGGACCGATGAACTTGCTTTGAAATTCTGTTGTTCTTGGCTTTTCGTGCTGTTATCTCATGCTGTAATGACTCAATGATATACCAGGCTGTGGTCCTTTGCTATCCAGAAATTCTGGAGTTGGCTGCCTTGCTGTGGTGATAATTTTTGGAAAGTCAGGAAGTGATAATTAGTAATTAACTGTTGAAAGTTCATCTTTTTCCTAGTTACGAAGGAACTACAAAATCACAATTTGTTTTCTAACATCAAAGAGCAAAAGAAAAAAGCTCCTTGATACACACCCCTTCCCTGAATAACGGTACACATAAATGTCTAGCAGGTTTTATTTTAGATCCCTGAAAGACTTGGGATTGAAAATCTTTTGCTTTAGTGATTGATCTTGGGGTGAATTTATTGTAACATTGATTCTAGAAAGGATCTTAGAGGGTTCTGTGCATCTTCCCGGGTTTTTTCAGGGTTTGTGTTTGGTTTGCTTTTTTTTTTTAAGAAGCTTGCATGTAAATAGGAGTTTTGGGTTGGTTTTTTTTGCCTCCTGTGTTCATTAAAGCGTTTTAATGTTATGCATCCATTTTTTTATTGTAGATGTGCGTTTCTTAGAATTAATGACAGTTAAAGTAAGCAAGCAGTAAGTTTCATATAGTGAAAACGGTGCAGGTATATGGTTTTTTAAAGCCTAGAATTAATGACAGTTAAAGTAAGCAAGCAACAAGTTTCATATAGTGAAAATGGTGCAGGTATATGGTTTTTTTAAAGCCTTGACAGTTAAAGTAAGCAAGCAGTAAGTTTCATATAGTGAAAACGGTGCAGGTATATGGTTTTTTAAAGCCTTTTTTTTGCTTTTTTCCAGATGATAAAATACGGTGTAATTAGCACTGATACCCTGATTGATGATTTACTTCACTGGAAAACCCTCTATGTTGCTGGACGCCTACAGAAGCCGGTAACTGTTAGTCTCTTCAGCTATCTGTCTTGAAATGCAGGAAATTACAGGGCTGGAAAATTATCAGTTGTAGTTTTAACTGTTAAGGATCTATGCGTCAGTATTGAACAAAAAAAAAATCTGCCCTGATTTAGGGGTCTAGTCCTAGAGGGATAATCTTTCAGAAAGGAAGTGAAATGTAGTCCTTAATGATACTTTTTTATGTGAAAAAAACCCAAAAGATAAGTATATTAATGACAGTGTTCTGCCTGTAGTAAATCTTGAATAACTGGACTACATTAACTCAAAGTCCCTTTAATGTTAAATACAATATTTACCATTTATAACAAATTATAGGAGTTGCCAAAATTTAACACAGTTAAATTATGGAAATCTCCAAAGATGAAAGCTGCTTTGCTGTGCAGTTACTGTCTAGTTCATTGTATTGTTGGAGTGTCTATGATTGACCAAACCATGCGTTAAGCATCTTGGTTTTTCTCCTCGTTTGTGTCATAAAACATATGAGGTCGTTGCTTTCCTATGAGTGCCTGATTCAGTGTGCTTTCGGCAGATGGCAGCAGTGCTGATTTCTTAAAAACTTTTAAGAGGGGAGTGGCAAAGAAGAGGAGAACACTGTTCAGGTCTTAGAACAGAAGTTAATTATGCTTTTAACTAAAAGTTTGGGGTGAAAGTTTGAATAGATTGTCTCAGCTCTACTGGCTTTTTCTCTGTCTCCAGGGATGTGTTATAGCATGATACAGGTTAGAACAGCTGTTGCCTTTATAAAGAAGGAAACTTAATACATTGAGAAAAATAACTGAAGGAAGAGTTCTGAATTTCACATTTACAATGAATACAGAATATTTATTTTCAGTGTAACTTGCTAACAAGACAGCGGAGATATCACATATGTGTTTAATAGATAACAGTCCAAATTATTTTCATAAAGCTCACAGGAATTTGCATGGAGTAAAGACTACAGGACTTAAATTGTAATTGGACCAAAAGATTTCTTGGTGAATGTTTAAACCGTCTCTTCCTGTAGAATCTATAAAATCACTACCTAGGATTTTGGATGTCATACTGCATTGAACAAAAATGACCAAATAATTTGTTTAGATCTGTTGTACAGGTTTCAAATGTCTGCTAGTTCCAGCTTCACAATTGACTTGATGTTTTTCAGATCTGTTGTACAGGTTTCAAATGTCTGCTGGTTCTAGCTTCACAACTGACTTGATGTTTTGATATATATGTTGTAAGTGGTAGTGATAGAAAGCTTGTATTACCTCCTGATAAAGTGTACAATAAGCTTCTTTTAAAGGGGACGCAAGGTTAGGTTTATTTCCTTATACACTGTAATCTCTTACATACCATTTGCCATTTGTGCTAGTTCTGGACACAGTTGACTGAAGCCAGATTAATATTGTTTAACAGTTTGTTTGGGAATTTCCTCCTCACTCTCATATAGAGGAGGAAGAGCCCAGCGCTTTCTGGTGTTCCGTTACAGAGCTGCTGCTCTCGGAGTGAAAGCTATCCAAGCTATTCCAGCACATGAGCTGAAACATTTGCTCTGGCTTGAAAATCTTGGCTTAATTTTCACTGGAGGTTTTGTTTCTGTTATAAACCGGTTGCCTTGACCAAGTAATCTTTCCAGAATGTTTGGCAGAATAGATGGTGTTTGGAATTGCCACTTAGAAATGCTAACTTTTCTTCCCAGGCTTCTTTGTGTTAGAAGTTTATTGGCTTTTCATCCTAGATGAATTTTATAATGCTGATCAGCTAAAATCCCATTTAACTACATTGAAAAATTGAATAAACTTAATTGTAATTTCTTCATAACTGATAGGTTTCATGTGGGAAAAAAATAAATGCTGCTGTACCTAAAAAGTAAAAGAAATAAGCACAAGTGACACCATAATTGGTTTTCAGAGGCAGAAGGTTTTAAAAAGCAGCTGAAGTGTTACTGAATTTTTGTTAAACATAGACTGTAAGTAATTGCTTTAGTGTAAGCAGCTGTATTTACTGTTGTCCTGGAGAAACTATTAAGAGAAGGAAGTGTTTAATACATTGAATTGAGGTGAGAGAGGCGAGTATGAATAGTGTATGGAAATATCTTGTACTTTTTGGAGGCATCTTGGGAGGTTTAGGTTTTTTATCTTACAAAAATTCTCATAGAGGAGTGAGAGAGCACATTTTTGTTTACAGAATTTTTCCATTGTCCAAATCTCTAAAAACATTTTTTGAAAGAGAATGGAAAAATCCTCTTATTGTGATATTTAGCAGAGTGTGCATGTGGCTAAATGGCAAGCTGGAGTAGTGCTTTTGACACCTTTCATTCTCTAATGAAATTTTGTTTGTCTGTAAGTCTCTTCGTGTACATTCCTGCAGATTCTGGTGTATGAATTTCCTAGCAGGAAAGGTAGAACATTTCCTGCTTTAGGTCTGTTCATAAATGCTATCACTACTGCAGTGTTCCATGCATTTAAATTTTGAAGCCTAGAATATTATTTATCTTCAGAAAAAAGAAAAAGTCTGGTTTACGTTAGAGAGTATTTTTAGCCAAGGAGGAGATTATTCCTTTTACTTTACTACAGCAAGTCCGTGGTCTTCCACGAGGAGGAATAGCATCTCTGAGTTTCACATTTTAAAAGGCTGTAACTATGGTGTTCTTAAAACACATCCATATATTGCTATATTGCCTAAAGTATAAGCAGTTTGTGTGACTACATGGGTGCCACAGATTTATCTTTTCTCTCTTTCTTTAGAGTTTTCCTGTAGCAACAAGTTATGGAACTACGTATAAGTGAATTAGTTGATGAGATTTTAAATATTAGTTTATCCTCATGACCAGCTTGTCTTGTTTACTGGATCTTATTTGAGCAAATCTGTATGAATTCAGTAAACTTCTCCCATGGTTTTCAGGGAAAAAAAAAAATTAGGCTCCCTGGCAGATGAATGCATTGTATTTAATGTGATTTATCATTGTCTTTCATTTTAACGCTAAAAAATACAAAGTAGTTTGCAGGAGAAGTTAGGAGGAATCCTGAAATGTTTGCTTGTACAGTGACCTCTTTTTTTTTTTTTTAAATGAAAATCAAAGAAGGGAAAATATCCTTCAAAAATCCACCCTGTGCCAATTACAGACTATTGTATAGATGTGATGTTAGTCAAACCCACCCCTTAGTGCAGAATTATTGAAACAAGCAGCCTGTATAGTGCTTACCACCATATAAAAATGAGATCTTATCCTAGTTTTATTCGTCTTAAAGATTTCACCATTAATAAAAATTATGTTCTGAATATACTGTTGGCCAGCCATGGCTTTGCTTTGTCAATGTCGTTTTTGTAACAAGAATTTTGTGTAGGAGGTATGTCTGATTCTCTTGCTTTCTTTACTGAATCTGGGTTTGTTTTGTTTCGTTTTTCTTCATTAACAGAGTATTTACGTTCCTAAAGGAAAATATTTACTTGAAAGTATACCTTAGCTGTTTCAGGCTATATTTGGGGGCAGCATTTCAAGTCATACTGCAACTCCTATGTGTGCAAATGGGCTTTTGGAGACTGAAAGCAAGTTGGATAGATTTGTTCATCCCTGCCAGTGGGTTTGCATTTTATGGTATTCTAGAGTAAACAAATACTAAGAAGCTGCCCTTTATAAGCAAGACAGTATTGCTTAACCAGAACACTTGAAAAAAGACAGAAACTCATAACAGGCAGGTATTCTTGGGAGAGTTGTTTCTGAAAGAGCATAGTTGGCCATCTTGTAAACCAGCCTGACCTCATCTGTCTAATGTTCTGTAATAATATGTTTCTATATTCAGTTCTTACTGAAGATCTGCTTTTTATTCCAGTATATTTCCATATCCTAGGTGACTGGATTCTGTAACTGGTTTTGAACAGTTTGAGTGTTTCCTAAAAATAAACTTCTTTGTGGCACATAGAAGCACTCAACTTCAGTGTTCTGTTCTTCATGTTTATGTAAAGTTCCCATTGAGTTCACATTCTGCTCATACAAAGTGCAAAATAAAGCCTAGACAACTAATGCTTAAGAAACTACTTGAAGCATATGATAGAGGAGTCCTCTATTAAAAAAAATGCTTAAGAAACTACTTGAAGCATATGATATAGGAGTCCTCTATTAAAAAAAAAAATAAAATAGAATGAAGGCGCATAGGAAAATGTACCTCTCTTCCTGGCATTCCATTGTCTTTCAGTGTAACAGTGGTTGTTTTTTCTTATTGCATAATTGCATATGAAGTATTTCTGTTAATGCCTTCATATTTACTGTTTGGATTAATCCTAAATTCATGAATATGGAGAGGTGAGATTAGTTAATGGCTGTTGCTTACAGCAGTTCTGAACACGTTTGTAAAAACAGCCCTTTGTAGCAGGCTATTAATTCTTAAAAAGATGTTCCTCTCTCTCTCCCACTGTGTCAACAAAAGGGGATGCTCTAGTCTTTATTGTACCATAATAATAGAATCTAATCTTAAATACATTTCTTACTTGTTTTTCATATTGGATTGAGTAACATTTCAAGCTCCATCTTCAGGGGTGCTTTCCTGAAGTCTTGGTTCCAATGACTCTGCTTTTTCAGGTGAAAATACTGACCCAGAATGAGAACAGCAAGCTGCAAGCTGCTCTTGTCAGCAACCTGAAGAGTGCGGTCACAGCAGCCTTCCTCATGCTACCAGAAAGTTTCTCTGAAGAAGATCTCTATATGCAGATTGCAGGACTCTCCTATTCTGGTTAGTACATGGGGTCTGAAGTCTCCGAGGAGAAAAGCTGTAGTTGGAGCTGTTGTACCCCAGTAGGAAGTGTCATGCATAATAACCCACCTGCTCTCTTGCTCTGGGCCTACACTGCTGCATGTTCCAATAACTGTACCTTAGTGCTGTGTTATGTAGCAGCTTGTAAAGACTAATTGTGCTTATTCATAGAAAATAGGTATAGGTACGTAAGCGAAACTCATACCTGCTTGATTTATGAACAGCTAATTATGGGGGATTGAACAGGGTAAAATAATGTGAGGTTTTTTCTGTTTGTGTGGATTGTAGTCTGGTTTTTAATTTTTTTATTTTCCAAGGTTCAAAACCTTGGAAAAAATTCTTCTTTCCACTCTGAGTATGATGTGAATTTGTCTAGTAATCTGGCCCATACTTTGTTATCTCTTACTTTTTGAATGTGCTGTGTTTAAGGTTCTTATTTAGTTAACTTAAAGATCTGTATTATGATTCTTCAATGTACGTTTAACACACCTCCTGGTTGGTATTTGTTGACTCTTTTCGGTAAGAGTATTTTCTCCTTTCTTTAGCTATGAAATTGGTATGGGAAAAAAATTACAGAAATTACTCCAAATGACTCTTCAAAACAAGATTTAATTGTTGCCATTTAATTCAGTATCACTCTTTAAATGTTGATATCTTTAATGAACACTGACAGTGGGATGGCTAAGGGTTGCTAACCAGGGATGTTTGCTACAGGGCTGCCTACCTGCCCACCTGAAACCTGTCCAGGAATGTCACTAGATTCTTGGTGGGCACTAGTGCCTGAGATACTTCTTTATATATCCTTGAAACAGTGCAATTAACCAAAAACGTGGGAGATCACTTGCTGTGCTGTAAGATGTTGAAATTGACTCCACTGTGTGAACAAAGCTAAAGCCATAAGACTTCCAGTTGGGAATGTTCAAGCAAAAATCTGTCAATTACATGTTTGTGGATATTTTAATTTGCTGGCATTTTGTTAAGTCTTAAACTTCTCAGAGAGTATGCTAGTAGACAAAATTGATTTTATGCGTTACTCTAATCAGTCTCCTTGGAGACAGCTGAAAGAGTTGTTCGTGCTTTAATTTGGAAAATGTTTATCCTTTTAATTCTTTTTGTGTGCATTTTTTTGAGAGCAGTGAGTCGGTACCATTTATATGGGAAGTATTTGTTTTGCAGCTTGGCATAAATTGAAATAAACCAAGTAATGCTAGCAAATTACCACCTTGCAACAACATTTATCTCCTGAATGGAGGAAGTGGGGAAAATTATTTGATCCAGGATTTATTTTGTTGATACATGCTACGCTGGGCTCTAACTCCTGGTTGGTAACCCTGGAAGCTACCAGGGTGGTACGTAATAGAGGTAGATGAATGCACTATTGCAGATTGACTGTCTTTTCACTTATTCTCTTTGAAACTTTCCAGTCACCTATCATAAAAGTGTAAAGGTCAGTAATGTGACAGTGAATATTTTATTTTGCTGCCAAATGGAGTTGCTTTTTGAGACTCCTAACAAACTACATGGCCAAGAGGAAAAGGGGATACTGTGATCTTACCGTGACTGGCCGCTAGCTCTTGAAGTGCACAGACAATGCAAATTATTTTCTTTCAATATTGGAAAATTGCAGGTTATTTGTTTCTAGATAAAAGGTATTGGAGCTGGTCAATCTGTTCAGTAATCTGTTGAAACTAATCTATTGTTGCAAAGAATGCAGCTGTGTTACTGCTGCCTTTGAGGCTGAACTTGACAGCTGGAATTTTTTTTGTTGTCAAAGTGAAAACGTGGATGCATGGGCTGATGGCATTACAACATATCAGAGGCCACATAACAGTTCTGAATCTTATTTTCTGTACTTGAAACTATTTGAATAGTATTTTTTGACTATTAGAAGGTCAACCTTATTGTGGATTATATAGGTATTAGTAGAGTTGGAGAATAAAGTTTTAGATGGTGGCTTTGTACTACGTTGTTTCTGTTACATTCTCCTTCGAGTTTTTGTTTTTTCCTAATGAATTAACTGTCTGTCTTTTCTTGACTAGGTGATTTCAGGATGGTAATAGGAGAAGACAGATCGAAAGTGCAGAACATAGTGAAACCTAATGTTCCCCATTTTCAGAAGCTGTACAGTAACATATTACAGGACTGCCCTCAAGTGGTATACAAGCACCATCTGGGAAGGCTAGAGGCAAGTGCTCTTCAAAACGTTTTTAAAACAAGCGAGTGGAAGTGCTTTATCACATTGACAGAAGGCAAGAATTACGTGATACGCTAAGGCGAGCAGTTGTAGTCACTGTACTTGCTATTTGTTATGTTTCTGTTGTTTAGTTAATTCTGCAGCCAGAAGACTTGCCTTAAATACCAGTCTCTGCATATGTAGTAACTACTGTTCGTTTTCTTTGAATATGGGCACAGAACTAGAGCCCTAGCAAAGGAACAAGAGAGGATAATTTTAAAATGTGCGTTCTAATGACTACCATATGGTAACAACAGTCTAGGAAGTCATGAATAAACATATGGTTTGTGTTAAAAAGATTAGGCCGTAACTAAGAGGTGCAACTTTCTGCAATCAAAACCTGCATCTCACAAAAGACTGTAGAATGCTAGTTATGAAGATCAGTTGACTAAACCCAAATGAAATTCTAGCATTATCTTTAAGTACCCATACTAAAATAATTTTGTCGTAGTATTTTGGAAACATGTAAGAATCACCAATATCTTGGATTCCATCTTTCTAGCATAAGGTTTAAGTGTAGCATTGCAATTAGGGAAGAGATGCTGCAGTCAGGGGCCCAATAGCAATTTTTCCTCTTGTAGTATGCATGTCCTTGAGTAAATATTCAAGTGTGTTATACATTTCAACGTGAAGTTACAATTAGCATGGGTTGTTTCATGGACATGGGTATCTCTTTATACTCTTGTCACCTTGGTAATTATCTCAAGAATGCCTCCTTTTAGGACGTCTTTGTTAGGAACTGAAATACAGATATAAGCAAGCTTGAGTGCAGTAAACAATTTTACTGCAAACTTTGGAGTACAGTGTAGGCGAATCGCTATTATACTGCAGCTGTCTTCGTCTTTTCTTATCAATGTGCTTTTGAACAGTTTAGTGGAAGAAGGATTTAAATGAATTTTGAAAAGAATCAGTAATGCTTTCTCCAACAAAATGGCTAGTTAGAATAGTACTCCCTGTTGTGTTACCTTCAAACAAATTCTGGTAGCATCCTACAAACACATTGTTGGATAATAAATCTGTCCATAATTCCATAAAAGTCATAAAGGCTGTTGATCAAATGCTATCATTTTACTGTAGATTTTGAGCAAAGTGTTTTAATGCTTTATTCCTCACACCTTGCTCTGATTATTGGCAGTTATTTCCCAAGCAGAAGAGGATAACTACTATGCTATCATTTTACTGTAGATTTTGAGCAAAGTGTTTTAATGCTTTATTCCTCACACCTTGCTCTGATTATTGGCAGTTATTTCCCAAGCAGAAACTAACTACTATAGGGAATGATGTTTAGCACAGAATAGAAACCCCTTCTCCAAGTACGTATCTTCAGAGTTACAGAGAAAATTCTTTCTTAAAAGATTCCTCAAAAACAATTGAAGGCAGACACTAGTTCTTACAGTTCTGGTTCAGGCGTGGATTCCTCCCACATAATGTGAAGAGCCTTCTCGTTGTCGGCTCCCTCTGTAGTCAGTGGGTGATTCATCTGGATATCATTTTCTCCCCATTGACTAAAGGGAGTGTAGAGGGTAACTAGACTCCTGTCTGATGTCTCCATGAACTGTCTAAAAAGTTGTGTGGGATGAATCAACCTTTTCATATTTTCCTCCAGTTTTGGAGAGATCTGCTCCATTATGCGTTTTTCAGTATTTGTGCTTACATTTTGTATAAATGTGTACAGGCCTGCATGTTGGTGTCATTGTGTTCAAAAAGGGGTCATTGAATTTCTGATTTGGATTGGAAAATGTGGAATGAATGTTTCCTTCAAATTATCCAAACCAGATGTGGTTTCATTTTAAAGCACAGAAAATGTTTTTCAAACTAAACTTGAAATGTGTATGTGTATAGTTTGATTATATTCAGGCAGAAGAAACTCAGCTAAGTGGTCTTTTGGGAACTTTCTTTTTTTTTTTTTTCATTGTAGAGTACTTATGTTTCCAAAGGAAATTGGATAGAGCAGAAACGATGTAGCTCCAGTGAAAAGTTGCTTGCAGAGGCAGCAGGATCATGTGTGTGCGTTAGTCTTCCCTGGGATAAAAATTAACATCTTTGTATTGAGTTATTCTTCAGGTTCAGAACTGAGATACTGCATTTCCCAGTGCTTGGGAAGTTTTCATTAGCGTTGTCAATGACTTTTACAAGTGCAATGGGTTGTGTTCTTTGTGATACTTTTTTTTTTTTTTCATTGTAGAGTACTTATGTTTCCAAAGGAAATTGGATAGAGCAGAAACGATGTAGCTCCAGTGAAAAGTTGCTTGCAGAGGCAGCAGGATCATGTGTGTGCGTTAGTCTTCCCTGGGATAAAAATTAACATCTTTGTATTGAGTTATTCTTCAGGTTCAGAACTGAGATACTGCATTTCCCAGTGCTTGGGAAGTTTTCATTAGCGTTGTCAATGACTTTTACAAGTGCAATGGGTTGTGTGACCTCATCAGAGGTCAAAGATAGCACAAAGACTTTTCAGACTTCTTTGAAAAAGAGAATTTACGTTGTTAACACTGAATGTTTTTTACCATGTTATTTTTTGTAACCTTCAGATTGATAAAAGTCCAGAAGGTCAATTTACACAACTAATGGCTTTGCCAAGGACCCTGCAACAAAAAATAACTTCTCTGGTAGACCCTCCTGGAAAAAACAGAGATGTGGAAGAAATTTTACTGCAGGTTGCCCATGACCCTGACTGCGGATTTGTGGTGCATCAAGGTAGGCCTAGATCAGTGTCTTTAATCTCTTTAACACGATAGATTTATTGTTGGTGTTCTTCTAGTTCAGAACGATGATTTAGAGAGAAAGAAGAAAACAAGAAGTTAGTCTTGAATTACATACCTAAAAGTATGGTTTTGGATTTGTTTGACAGCAAAGGGGTTCTTTGAAATACTAGCAAATAGCATTCCTACTGATAAAGAAAGATATGTTTTGGTTTAGATTCTCAAAGAAGTGGTCTTTAGGAATTACTGTGGCCTACTTAGACCATCTAACTCCATTTGGGATGCATATACCTTCAGGATTTCATTGGCTGGTATAACTTCATCTAAATACTAAACTATATATCCTACCAGTCACACATTGCAATGCAAAGTTAATTTTCTAACTTGCTGACATAACCCTTCCCAATCATCATGGTCAGTCCAGATACATGAGCTCTGGCAGAGAACTTGGGCTTTGAGGGAAAAGATTGAGGTGTTTCTCATCGTCACAGATAGCTTCTCTGAGGCAAGATAACGTTGTATAAGCAGGCTGAAGCTTATGTTGCAGACTTCAATGTTCTATTATTCTGCAGAAAAATGAAAACGTTTAGTACTTGAAGAATGCTTTATACCTGGAAAGAACTTGACACATCTTGGTTCCATGTGGCCAACTTTGCAAGCTCCTTGGGAGCTGCAGAAACTCCCCAGGTGCCTGAGAGCCACTAGACACTAGCCAGCTGCTGAGGGAGCCCTTAAGCTGATTTCTGTTTGGGGAAATAAAGCTCCTGAGAGTTGCAGTTCTCCCTTGGCGGTATAGGATGAATTGCGCCTGGATATTATGGTGTCCAGCTTCTCTCATGTCCATCTGTGGCAGCTTCTACGCTCCTGTGGCTGGAGTGCGGTAGTAATGTAATAATAGCTGAATCTGGGAGCAGGAGTTGCAGTGGTTGTGAGCTGCTTATAGTGTCAGAGCTCATGAGTTGTCTACCCTGAGCTGACTGTCCTTGTGGTGGTATTTGTGTAGGGTGTTGTGACTGAGGACTGCCCGGTGGTGCAGCAGTTCAGTACCAAAACATTACATAGACCGAGTCTTCTCGAGCCAAGCAGTTTGTACTCTCAGGAGAACAAATCAGAACCCATCTTTCACTTCTGTGGCTGAAAGATTTTCCCAATTCAAGAATCTGGGTAAAGGACAGGACAAGCTATTTGGTAATCCTACGAGACAAAGCTGATTGCTCAAGTTGAATTGCATTGTCCCTAGGTATTTTACTAGCTCAATGTGATTTGTTCCCTCCCCCTCCCCTACCCCCCAGATTATTTTCCAATGAAATATTGTTTCCCTGTTACTTATTAATGGATTTCCCTAGGCTTTGTTCTTCACTATAGAAATAGCTTTGAAAGAAGGATTTTAAAATAATATTTGAAATTATATTCTACATTCTGGTTAACACAGAAGAGTAACTTCCAGTTTGGAAGACTAACTCTGGGACTGCTACACTTCTACATTTATAAGTATTTAGTAACATACAGTAGTTTTATACATATATGTGTTAGAACAGATAAAATGTAGTACTTTTAAAAAAAAAAAATATCATGTTCTATTTACTATTCCACTAATACCTAAGAACCACTGGACAAGAAGAACTGAATGTGCCACAGTGGTAAACAAGTGCAGCAAAGTGATAAACAAGCCTTATCTCCAAAAGCTGATAATTTAAAAAAGCCAGACAAACAAACACTGCACAATGTAGGCAGCTCTGCTTGACCAGAGAAGTGCAAAATCCCAATTTCATGTTGGAGTAAACAATGAGTATGATTTGTTCTGCTCTAGAAAGTTAATATGCCAGCACTTAAATGAAACAATTCTGAATCCTTTGTGACTAATCATCTTAGTAGAGGAATAATGGGAACGTTAAATGAATTAATTTGATCAATTTCTACTTGTTGTTAGCTGTTTTAATATTGATTTGGTTTGGGTTTTTTATATGTTATATATAAAATAATTTACAGTACCTTAGAGAATATCTTCAATTAGTGTGACAAAGCAGAACAGAAACAAATTTTCTCAGCTTGGATGTGTGTTTTACTTTCAGGCTGCCTTGATTTTATAACTGGAAAAATATTTAACTTTTTCATGTATGTTGGAGGATAAAAAAATCCCCACGAAACTGCTAAGATGGGTAACATCTGTGTGCTTTTCTATCTGCAGGCATTTCAGGAATTGTGAGATCTTCCAGTATAGCGCAGAGTGCTAAAACCATACTAACAGCTGGTAAGAATGTGTGTGATTTCTATCAACATAGGCCTTCTGATTTCACAAAGTAAAAATTATAGGGCCTGTCTTGTTGCAAGAGTTTAAAGAATAAGCTTTTTGGGTGTCTAATGGAAAGCCTCTGGAAAACAATATTTAAAGCAGAAGCTTTATATAGCTGTAGAGAAATTGTAAAATGCCAAAAGAAATTAGAGTCTACATGACTCTTAAATAAACAAACAAAACCCCCCAACAACCCAAAAGTAACAAAAAACTCCTTCTGACTTCAATTCCATCTTACTTGTGGGCCGGATTTGGCTGATGTGCACTGGTTCTGCTCTTTTTTGTATTAAAAAAAAAAAAGGGAAAAAATTACTTTAAAATCCACTCTGGCTTTCCACCATGTGAGGGGATCCCTAAATGATCAGTCCATAGTATTGGTGTGTTATAAAACAATATTTAAAGCAGAAGCTTTATATAGCTGTAGAGAAATTGTAAAATGCCAAAAGAAATTAGAGTCTACATGACTCTTAAATAAACAAACAAAACCCCCCAACAACCCAAAAGTAACAAAAAACCCCTTCTGACTTCAATTCCATCTTACATGTGGGCCGGATTTGGCTGATGTGCACTGGTTCTGCTCTTTTTTGTATTTAAAAAAATGGGAAAAAAATACTTTAAAATTCACTCTGGCTTTCCACATGTGAGGGGATCCCTAAATGATCGGTCCATAGTATTGGTGTGTTTTGTAGACTATAAGTTTATTTCATCATAAAATAAAGAAAGGAATACGTTTTGAGGGAGAGAACTGTGACAGGATCAGATCAGATGGTTTTGCCGGGCTCAGAAGGCAGGTGTGTATTTGAAGACGTGATGTATTCCAAACTGAGCCTGTACTTGGTGGGCATTAGATACTACTTTAATTCTTGTACTTTAAAATTAATTACTTGGAAAAAGAGCTGAGTATTACAAAGTCAACGTGAGAGAAGCTGTAGAGGGCAAAAAAAGACTTGCTTACGTAGAAACATGGTTTAAAATTAATTACTTGGAAAAAGAGCTGAGTATTACAAAGTCAACGTGAGAGAAGCTGTAGAGGGCAAAAAAAGACTTGCTTGCGTAGAAACATGGGAAAACTAGTGATGCTTTTCAGCTATCAGTTTTCCTAACTGATTGAAAGTTCCTGCCAGTTATATAGCTGGAGCTTCATCCTATTTTCTGAGTTCTGAAATAAATCTAACTTAAGATGACCTGATTTTCACATTCTAAAAAGCTGAAAGCACGGCAGCGTGATTTAAAAGAAAGACTTAAGACCTGCGCCTTCATTTCCTTAAAACTCTGGTCAGGAGATAGTATGAATTCCTGCAAAGTGAAAAATCCTTGCTGCTTGCTTGACGTTGCTCGAATAATTTTCTCAACTCATTCATATCTATTCCTAATTCTTCCACAAGAGCAATCAAATACAAATGATGCCATTACTGGTTTTAAAAGCAGCTGTATAGCTTCCTACTGGGCAATCCTTACGCAGACTTTCATAGCTGCTGTTCACTTCCCATGTAGTATTAAAGTTGGTGGCTCCACATTGTAGTGCCCACCTCCTTGTAAAGAAACACAAACTGCAGTGTTCAGGCCCATTAGTTAGCTGCTGAGTAAAATAAGCAGGAACAGTTCTACTTTTTATATGCTTCTGATAATAGCCTAGTTCTATGAACTGGAAGAAGTCTGAGAAAGCTATTGCTGAACTTTTGTTTAGTAGCTGAAGGAGACTAAGAAGGTAACTCCATCTGAGAAAAGCAAATTACTGTTTTATGTGACTTAGGCATATTGCAGGTACTAGTTTCTAAATGTGAGGTTTCTAACTAAATAGGTGATGCTTTTCTTCTAGGATTTCTTGTCAAAATAACCTGGTAGTGGTCAGGACTTCTTGCATTCTAACATGGCTCCTTTAGCAATATCAGCTTGTAACCTATCTCTTTCTAAATCCATGGAGAGTAGATTTTGTAGAGCAAAATATTTGGAGGGGAGAGGTCAAAGACAGCATTACCGTGTTGAATTCAGTGTTGTGAAAGTAGCTGTTTGTGTGTAACTGCAAGAGCATAAATAAAAATAGTTAAGCTTTGTCAGATTATTTAGGTTTGATGGACAGAAAATCACCCCTGGGAATTGTCCCCTCCTTTTGTGTGTCATGCAGTAAATCACTTACAGCCCATATGTCCTTTATTACTAGGACTTTTGGGGGGTCCTAAAGCATCTTTTAGTAGGACTTCTAATTTTTACCGTGTTTTTTTGTTTTGTGCACTTGAAACTAGGTGTTTTGAAATGCCTTTTCTTTCCTTTGTCTTAACTGCTTTTTGCTTTATATATAGTGGTTTGTTGTTTTTTTTTTCCTTTAAAACAAACTCTAGTTGTCTTCTAACCAGCCAGTTACATAGAATAATACTTATATCTAAACCCGTGTATTTTCTGTAAAGCAATTGTGCTCCTTTGCCTCAAACACAAGCCAAATTTAAGCAGTAGGGCTTGGGAAAGTTTAGTTTTCTCGCTTTTAGTGTCATTTCGTTTGTTTTATTTTAACCGTATTTCTGCACTTCTGCCAGAATCTGGCCAAAACCATTGGCAGCAGGATGCAGGCTTGGTCTTTTGGGGTTACTTACAGATGATGTGCTGAGGGAAACGAGTTAGGTTGGAAAAGGACTGTCTCTGGCATTTCTTAACCTCTGAATGTTGTTTAATGAATGCAGAGCTTCCCTGCAGAGCCAACCTTCCTGCGCATTGCTGCGTGGGCCACCCTGGCTGCAGCTCGGACCAGGAGCATGTCTGTAACATGTAACGTGTCCTGCTAGACATAATATGAGTGATGCCACGCTTGCTAATGCAGCCATAGCCCTGCTTCCCCACAGCACCACCAGTTTCACTCACTGAAGATGGATGGAAGCACAGACATAGTATTTTTTTTTAAATAAAGGCCTACATTGTTGTGCTCATGAAAGAAAAAATTAAATTTCACTGTCCAGGGGCGTGACCTGAGTATTTTTCAGATGTGATGTTTGTATGATCTTCAGGAATCTGCCCTGGAATTTAGGAGGGATGGATTTCCAGGGGTTTAGGAGTCAGCTAGTAGAAGCCTTTTGCCTGTTTGAGAGGTGTTTTTTTTTGTTTGTTTCTTTTTGTGGTGGTTTTTTTTTTTTTTAATACTTCCCTCCAAACAGTTATGATTGAGTTTATGTGAAATCTTGATGTATTTTCTAATGAAGATTATTTTTCTCCCAATTACAGTTTCTTAATTTAAAAAACTGGTCACTAGGGGGCAGGCATTAATGCTGGTCACCTTGCTGTGCCATTTCTCGGGGTTTTTAACAGCTAATATTAATATAGATACATACTCGACACAGACAAAACATTGTGGCTCCTGCATAGAAAGTATTTGCTTGAGTCATGCAAGAAATGTGTTTTACAGGAAAGAGTTGAGCTTTAAAATTTAATCCCGAAGGACGCTCTATTTCTTTCTTCATTCTTTAACCAAATCCTGTCTAATATTTTGTTCCCCTAAGACCTATTTTCGCACTTTCTAGTAGAGACTTTAGGAACAGTATTATGGCTCTGTCCTTCTGCAGTGTTTACGTTAAGAATAGTAGCTAAAATAAGAGAATTACGAAAGCGATTCACGAAATCAGTGACTCCATTAAATGTGCTGTTGCCATTTTTTCTTGCTGTTCCTGGTAACTGTTCAAGTACTTTTGTCCTACGTCTGCTTGCAAAAGAAATAGTTTTCATTACAGGGCTATAATTCTTTTTGAAATGCAATGGGGACAAAAAAATTAATTCCTTAGCTGTTTGCTTTATCTTAACAACAACAAAAGTGAAATGTCTTGTCTCTGGTCTCCAGTGTGGTCGTCCAACGTACAGCATGTTTCTAAATTAAATGTTAAATCGGGAATAGCCATCGCTGAGATGGCATGCTGTGTATTAACAGCACTGGCAGGGAGCACAAGCAAAATAAAGAATTTCAACCCATTTAAGAGAACTTTTTTCCTCTTTCTCTGCCAATGTGGTTTTGAAGTTGAGCTCAAGCTCTATGTTTTTGTTTGTTGTTAAATGCCCTATTTAGTTTTTGAAAATGTGCCTGTGTATTTCTTCGAGTCTGTGGTGAGATCGCCTCTCTGTTTCCCATTAGAGGTGGCACCATCGTTTGATTTATTTTCCCACATAGCCAGAGTCTGCGTGGTCTTTGGGAACTAACTCTGAAGTTCTTATATTTAGCTCCTCTGAAGGAGATGTTGATACTTCTTTAGCTTAGATTTCTTCTTTATATCTCACTAGAGGAATGCTGTGAGCCCTGACAATTTCTTAAAACACTGAATTAAATCATCAGTTGAAGCCATTGTTCAAGATACTTTTTAGTTGGCACAAATGCTTCTAGCTGCTTTGAATAACATATGTTTTTTTTAGAATTGGGGTATTTGTATATTATGTCTTCAAGGAATTTTTTTAAACTATAGTGAACGGCTTTACATATAAACTATTCTGTAGATTTGTGATAATTGCTGTCTTCATCAGCTGCCTCAGCAGACGCTACAGACCACTGCACTTCACTGGAAATATATGTAAAAGGTTTGTGTGTGTCTGTGCATGATACACCAACAATATATAACTGTTTGCCTCCACATGACAGCTGTTCAGCAATACACACATTAGCCTTTCTTTTGAAAAGGAAATAAAGTATACTGCAGCCAGGCATATCTACCAGGGAACTTTGGGGGACCTATATTATAGCCAAATTACTATCTTACAGCACTAACACTTCCAAAAAACCTAACATGGATTGTTAAGTAAAACCAGATACAACTTATGTTTACACTGAAATTTTGTGGTCTTGATTCCATGTGCATTAGGTCTTTGTTCTGTATCATATAGTGGAAAAATCTAAAGGGGAGGTGGAACCACCAAGTCATAGATTCAGAGCTAAAGTAGAAAGACGTTTTCATGTGGTCCAACTGCTTCAGATTCTGAGACTAAGCCATAATTACAACCATTAACTTTTACTACAGATGTGACTCATCACCCTGAGGGCTGCTTTAAGAAACCAGCTGTGTGTATAAACCTGTATTTTGCTTTGTAGCGTGATGTGCCGGGGCAGAAATGTAAGCATCTCGTTACATAAGGCTGTAGCGGGTGGAGTTCAGGAGAGTGCTCCCTGCAGGGGGAAAATACGGAGGAGAACCATCTCTGTGGGCTGAGGAGCTGCTGCAAGAGGCAGAGCAGGTTGGCGAGCAAATAAAACATGCTGACTCGCTGGCTGCGGTGCCAGCACAGGTGATGACAGTCCTGTGTGGCTGTATCAGCTCTGTCTCTGCTGGTTTGCTTTACTGCCCTTCCAGAAGCACGCTGACTGCATTGGGATGGCAGAACAACAGCAGTCCTGGCAGAGAAATTGCAGTATTTCAGGGGCTGCATCCTGGATGTATAGTACCTAGGAGATTGGAGAGTAATTTTCAAAGCTGTACAGTGATATAGTTTTAATGTAATTTTAACAGTCTGGCCTTGTTCTGCGACTGGAATTCTTAACACCGTGGGCAATTTTAATGCAGATAGACGAGGCGCTTCAGAATTTACGTTATTATTTACTTGTTGTTTGAGAAGGTGCAAAGAAAAGCCCATCGTGACTTCATTAGCGTGCTTGCTTTTAGCAAAAACCTATTAAATATAGAAAAGTTTGAGCTTACATCTGGGATGCACATGGTTTTGTAAATTGAAAATATATATATGGATGATTCCTTACAAAAGGTAAAGTTGAGTTTATTTAAATTGCAATTAGAGACACAGGAAGTGCAAAACTGATTATATGCTGCATATTTGTTATGACAGGCTCTTTACTCTTGTCACATTCCTTCATAAATAGAGCATGCACTTTTCCTTATTACTGCAGAGTCATTTGACTTCTTGTGACTCTAGGCTGTTAATACTGAATGCATTTTTCACTTAAAAGTATTTTATCTTCATTTGATTACTTTCCAAGGCCTTTTCAAAATCAAATATTATCATACCCTTTTCCCCCCCCCCCAAAAGTCCAATGCTAAATGTGACTCTGAGTTGCTCATTTGTTCCAGAAGGTCTTTCCTTGTGTTCTGCTGTGTCATGCTCCTTCACTTTTGGCTAAGTTGCTTCTGAGTACTTCTAGTGAGTCTTGTCAGGTAAACAGTGTTCTATTAAATAAACATAAGAAAGATTGTAGTAAGTATGACATACCATACTTTTTAATCTGCGCATGCCAGTGTCAAAATTAAAGCTTTTGGGGCAGCATTAAAAACTTGCCTTTTCAGTTTTGAATTTGTAAGGGTGTAATTAGTCTGTGTTGTAATCTGAAAAGTCACTCTGTGTCTTGTGTTGGGCTTTTTTTTTGTTTGTTTTGGGGTGGTTTTTTAATCAAAAAAAGCTGGAAGGAGGAAAAATAAGTAGCTCTACTGGCTAGGGTTTCAGAACCCCACTGAAATGCCAAGACTAACAATATTTTGTTTTTAAGTTTCCAAATACTAGATGACTAAACCCAGCAAAAGGCTGTGTCTTTTTTTTACTCTAGGTCTGTAAGAGGCGGCTTATCTCTGGGAGAACTTCAGAAAGTGTTTAGCTCTAATGGTATGCTTTACAGAGCGTGTGGGAGTCATCCTTGATCTCTTCGTATCCAAAACTTGAAAAAGCTTGGAGGCCATGACTGCTGCAAGACCCTTCTGTATCTATATGACAATTAAGAAATGCCTTCCTTCACTGTAGGCCTAGTTTACCAAAGTGCACTACTCGTGGGCTGCTGCAGGATGATGCTAAGAGTACGACAGCTCTTCTGGCTTCATAGGAGGTTTGTTATAAACAAGTGACAGGCAGGTTATTCAGAAGCAAAATTGGCCCAGACAACATCCCTGTGGCAGGGTATTCACACTGGTCTCCGTATTATACTTCTGGTATTGGCAGTGTTGCCAAATTACAGCTGTTTGTCATCTTATTACTTTTGCTTCTTTCAGTTCACCTGGGTATATCCTTATTAATCAGTTTTTTCCATACCCATCATCATTTCAGAATTATCATTTGTTACCTAAGGACACAGATGACATTTCATTATGCAAGTTGAGTTTTATTCTCTTGCAGGCGTGCTGTTCTCTCAGTTATGAAATGGTAGCTGCCATTAGTTAGGATGAGGCAATAAAGAAGTATTCAAGGAGGTTCTAGTGTACTCTACAACTTGTTGAAGCCAGAACAGATTTCTGTCTCAACAGTCAGCAGCATGTTTCCTGAGGAAAAAACCCAAACAAAGCCAAAACAAAACAATTCAGTTTTTACTTTTAATTCACAAGTCTGCGTAGCAAGACTCTGGGTGTGTTCATCCTGGAAAGCTGCTGGTGGTGTGCAGTGATTGATTGCATTTAATCAAGATGGGCATCAGCGTGATGCTTCTCAACTCTAACTGCAGAATTGGTCCCTAACAAGGCAACCAAGTGCCTGATGTATAGCATCAAGCAAGGGTAACTAAAATCCAATTAGCAGAAGAAATTGGTATTGAAAAGCATAACGTATAGGTTTGGTGAGGATCTGCAGTAAACACAGATGGTTTAAAAGCCTTTCTGTATTTAGCATTTAGGAACAATGATGTAAATCAGAAGTTTCCGTCTGTACTAGTTCGGAGTTTTATTGCGAATCTCTACGTTTGCTATACCTCGGTCATTGTGCACATCTTCAGGCCTTCACAATGAACCTGTTCTATTTTCCATGCTTGCATACTATTAAAAGTCTTTTTCTGTTCCATTATTACTGTGATATCAATGTGACAGTAAGGTTATTTGCATATTGGCCTGATGGATTAAGTTGCTGTTCTTCCAGTGAAAAATTTTACTTAATGTAGTAAAAATCTAGTATTTTGAGTTAGCCTTCCTAAATGTTGATATTTTCTGGATCTTGTGTCTCTTTTTTTTTTTTTTTTAGGGGCAAAGAAATCTATAACTTACAGTATGAAGAAATTATATAAAATGACAAAGGGATGGTTAAAGAAGACATCTTGAGTCTTGGCATACTGTGTATGGGTAAATAAATGGTACTTTTTCTCTAAATATTTTGCAGATGATGATTTGCCTAGTTGAGGAGATTAAAGTGCATTTAAGAAGTCTGTTCTAATAATTTACATGCCCGATTTTACTACTAAAGTAGAAACTTTTGTTAGTGGGGGAGGGCTCGATGGTAATAGGGCAAAGGAATTGTAGTGTGTAAATACTGAAATTAATTTCCCTGTGTACCATGGCTTGGATTTTCAGAAACCCTGAGGAAAAAGGATTGGTTGTGCATATGAATTAAAAACCAAAGCCACTCATTTTCTGTGTATTGCTAGCTTTATTTTCCAAAATACACCCAGGCTCTTTCAAGATATTCATTGTCCCAATTTTTATTCTCTCAGGGATTTACGGAACTGGAGACTCTGTTGAGTTTTAAGGAGATACGAAACTGTCCTTTTGAAATAAATTATTTTTGCTCTTACAAGTTCATCCTTAGAATTCTTCTGGGGATGCTTCTGCAGGGTAGACTTCATGAAAAGTCATTTTTTTTTCTCAGATGTGTGACATTCTGAATCCAAAAACTTGGACCATGACTTTCAGTCTGGGAAAGAGTGAAATGAGAAGCTTGTCAGGTCTTGGATGCTTTCATAGAAATTGTATGTTCTTTTCACGAGACGGAGATGCCAAGTACCCAGCTCGTAGCTAAGCGCTGTCAGAAGAGTCACAGTTGGAAGGAACATCATACTTTCCCTCACCCAGGACCTTCTTGTGCAGATTTATGAAATGTGAGTTGTTTGGCAGAAGATTCTAAGTGCTTAAAAGTTGGGAATTCTGTGAACAAAAGTTCCTATTGTTTGATTCTTTGATTTATTTTTTTTTCCCTGAAAATACTATTCACAAAGATAAAACTTGTCCTCCCTTGCTTATCAAATCAGCTAAACTAAACAAAATTGGACTTTTACATAACATGTTACGTTAACCATGCCATTAAAGAATGGATGTTTCTGATGGTATTCATGTGTGATGCAATAAATAGGGAGCATCTGTTGTAAATATTCTATTTTTTGCACTGAGCCAGGTGGGTTTGCTAATTTTGGATGTTTTTCTTAATAGAAATAAATTGAGAGAACACTTGATTATTTTTTTTGTGTGTGAGAGTGTGGATGATAAGAATAATTTAAAGGTAAAAAATTGAAATAAAATGTGTCTGTCCTGATTAGTATGTTTTTTTTTTTTTTTTTTCCTGTTTATCCTGTGACCAGTAGGGCCATCTCTTAAGCTACATTTGATTTAGTGATGTCACTTAAAAAAAAAAAAAAATATTGGAATGAAATTGGCTGCTAATTGTTTCCAGAGAGCAGTTCAAAGCATAAATTTAAGAAAGAAGACAGAAAATATATTATTGTATGTAATAGGACTCATTCAGGCTTACTTTAATCATGGGGGAACATTTAAATATTGATTATTTTTAAATATTTGAGTTTAAATTGGCGGAATTTGAATCCAGAATCAGGAAATAAATGTGTCCCTTTTTTATTTTCTTGGAAAATACTATTACTGTGAAATAGTAACTTTTTAAGGTCATAGGCAGATTCCTAATCCTTTGCATTATCTGTTGATGATAGATCTAGAATTTGTAAGATAAATCCTCTCAAATGCCCTTTTCTGATATTAGGAGGCTGACTTTCTATCTTATGATGGCATATTTTGGAAAAAGAACTAACTTAACCTAGAGAATGTTTGTATGTATGGTACTAGCATTCTCTATCCCTATTAGTAAGAGGTCAGAGTCCCTGATCTGAAAAGTTTTTATTATAAGAAACAGAGCTAGGGAATTTAAGCCACTCCTTAAATTAAATTAACCTTGGGTTCTGGATGGCTTATTTATCTGCATGAAGAAGTTCCTTTCTGGATAATCTAGAGGCTTTTATACTGAATATAACCTATCCACCTTAAAACTAACTTCGTATGTAGCGAAGACTTGAAATAGCCATGTGATTTTTATTTTTTTTTTTTTAAGTTCAGCATAAGCTGTAAAAAGCAATCTGAAATCAGATGTTGACTTGCTTAGGTATGCTCGGTGGAAAATTCTTAAGAACAGAGAATACTGGTCCCAGTGGTAGAAGCAGACCCCAACAGATACAAGGCTTTTGGACAAATGAACAACACGAGAAAAGATTCAGGATGGACTCATGACCTTTTGAGTGAAATAGTTACCAGGTAAGAAGGCCAATGCTGGCAGAACTGCCTGGTTTAGTCATCTAATGAGGTAACAGCTTTTATTTTTTTGGCCCAAATGAATTACACTGTAGGGGAAACTGCATATGGGCAGGAGCACGGACAAAACACTGATTTTTACACCAGCAATTTGGTGCTAGCAAATTTTTGGTAGGGTCCACTCTGTTTTTTGGAGGGAAAAGAAAAACCAAAAAAAAGCAGGTCCTCATCTGTGAAAATCTTAGGATACATGAAAAAAAAATGGAAACTGAAACTGACAGCAAATCAACTTGTAGGAAACAGAACAATTTCAAAAATGACCCTCTGCTTGAATAGTTAGCACTATGATTCCTTTATTTATTTAATTTTGATGTAACAATGTTATATGTTCTGGGCTTTCTTTCTTTTGTAGCTGTGTTTATTTTCAGTTAAGGCTGTGTGGGAAAGTGCCTAAGGGAGCCTTAGCTCCTTCTAAAGGAGAGGATGCTCACTGCTGGCGGGGATTTGTCCTCCACAAATTCAGCAAGATCACTCTTAGTGAAATTGTATTTTTCTCTTTGTGTGTGAATTCTGTTCCTGTAGTCAACTTCAGGAAAATGAATACTGTAAGCAGAAAAATGCAGTTGTTTTTATGGTTTTTTTTAAAATGCCAGTTGCTGCAAACTGGATTATTAGAAAGCTATTCCACATACTGAGTACATTACCAGATAATTAAAGCTAACAACTAAAATGTTATTCCAAATTTTGCCTCATTTGTCTCCTTTTTATGTCTGTGAATGAAAATGTAGCCATTGCATTTTTGTAATTCCTACAATTTGCTGAAGGATGCAGGCTTTCCTAGGTGCTGCATGGAAGTGTACAAGCTGAAAGGGGAAAAAAAAAAAAGGACAGCTGTGGTGCACAGATAGAGCAAAAAACTTATGCACAGAATAAGCAATATGACCAAATTATTAAAAAAAAAAAAAGAGTAGACAGTGGCAAAACTAGACACTGACCTTTTAAGGAGCTCATTCCTTCCTCCTGTAGTAGGGCAACTAAGTGAAGTTTTACATCACGAGCTGTTCTGGGAAGTAACATCATTGAACAAAACCGTTCTGACCAACCCGTACTTATTTTTTTCTTTACACCTAAAGGTGAGGATGGGGCTTTTTAAACCTGATTAAATAACAGCACCACAGGATGTGAAACCTCTGCCTCATAAATTATAACTGCTTCACTCACTGAGAGAGCTTGTGTGTCATAGGATTGCCCAACATCTGGTTGAGAATTCTTACCAGCAGAGCATTTAATCACATGCTTGACTTAAAATGCAAACATTACTACTGTTGTTGAATAGGTATGTGATTCCTTTTTGGGACTAATGGCAACATACAGCTTGGGCTTGAATCTGCAGCTGTAAAAAAAAAAGAAAAAACAATCTATGTGATGTCTCAGTACAGCTGGACACTGCGGAGCCCCTCCTGGGATCTGGCTGCAGCGTAAGCAAAGGTTGGATTCAAAAATCTCATTCACTTTAGTGGTTTTTATTTGTTACCTTGAGGTTGTGGTTGTTTTCCCTTTCATTGAGAGAGGGTCCCTTGGGGATGTGTGTGTACCAGAACTGTAGATAGAATATCCTATGAGGATATGTGCATCCTAAGAGGCTGGTGTTTCTCCCTTTCTGCAGTTCCTCACTACTGCTAAGTTTGGGGGTGAGCAGCAGTTAAACCTAGAATTTTTTAAATGATGAAATGCAGTTGTATCTCTAGGGAGGCATTTCAGAGAGCAGCCTTCTTTTAAAAGCCATTAGCAATACAATTAAAGATAATGTTCTGAATAGTAAAGTAAGACACATTTAAAAGGGGGGTTGGTGTTTCAGAAGGTGCTTGCTACTGAGATGTGGTTCAAAATGTTAGAATTCAGTGACGAGTCATTCTGATGTGTGGGAATGAGTTGGCCTTGGCTCCTGTAGTGAAACAGCTCTCTTCGTCCTGAGCCTTGCTAGCTGAGCAAGGGCATTTATTCAAGAAATAATGTAGTTGTAGGAAAAAAAAAATAGGAACGTAGTGCTCGCTGTTTAGCAGCTAATTAAACATTTTTATGTGCAGCAGATGCTGTATGGCGTCAAACCCTCCCAACCTTTAAACTGTTTGTCACGCTGCCAGCGGAGCGGTCTGTCCCTTTACAGGTGTTACTTTGCTGCAGAGTTTGCCTGTAATCTGAACTGGCCCTGTTTGCCTTAACATGGCTGAAATACCCACTCCGTATCTTGATTTGGCTTTATGAACTTTCTTTGTGTAATAGCAATATAATGGGTCATTTCTTGCTCTTTGGAGAGAGTTTTGCAAATCCCAGTTTAATAGTTCCTAGTTTACTCCATCTGTTGATACCTTGCCAGTATTCAAGGCTGCGCAGTAAATCTTTGCGAGACGTAAGAAAGCCCTTCCTCATCATCCATATAGGCTGAAATCTTAAACTGTATTCTGTTCTGTAAATCATTTATCTCTGTGCTTTTTGAAAAGTGGCCTACCTTTCCCCTTGAGGCCATTGGTCTTGAATGTATTTATTTTTTTGGCCGAGCGCCATGAATGAATCATAGCCCAGAGCAGCCTCCAGTCTGAACTCCTCGCTATTGTTAATATAAAATACTTTATGCAGTTGTTACAACGTTTTGCTATGTAAAACTTTTAAGAGAAGAGAGATTGATTTCAGACTTGTTAGTTGCTTTTGAAGTTCCTCAGCAGTATGTGGAAATGATTTCTTATGCTCGTACAGCTGTAATCCACTAAAATAACTGGTGATTGTTGCGCGGGAAGTTGGTACATGGGAACAAGTTACTAACTCCTTGTCGTAATGAGGTGTGTCTGTTCTTTCATGAAAAATAGTCACTTTAGCTTTTCATTCCATTTGTAACTTTCCTGTTTATACCTTCCTGCTCCATTTCCACACTGCTTTATTGTTGTATTGTTTCTCTTGGCGACTTAATTCTCAAGGTTTTCGTTCTGTTCTTCAGACATCCCTCTTTTCTGCTTTGGCCATTCCACCATGGATATTGTTTCATGCCCCATCCCCTTTTTTCCTGTGTAACAGTGCTTTCATTAAAGGCAACCAGGCAGATGATTTATTTCTTGATGTCTTAAAAGGCTTTTTTTGTAATGAGGAGCCTGGACCCCATCAAACTGCTAAGGATTTCCGTAGGTGAGTCAGCAGCATGGGCCTCGCTGGCTCGGAGAGCGATGGTGCCAGCAAAGTGTGTAACTCTGTCTCCTGCTTCAGAGGGGATAGACTAGATGACCCAGGATGAACAGGAAATCGAAATTTGACTGGATAAATAACCATAGATTCTGGTTTCCACTTCTCTTTACAGTCTTTAATGTCAGTATCGTGTCCCTTTATTAACTTGCCTACTATTGTGAGCAGCCAGTTGTGGCTGGCAGTATGATGTCTGGCTGCTCCTAAGCTTAAGAGCTAGGGGCTGCATAGAACTGTGCCACACAGGGTGCTGGCTTTCTCCAGCAGCATCTGTAAGGTGTGTTCTTCATAGCTTGCTCGTTTCCCCTTTTTCCAGGTATTTGAGTAGTGAATTCCTCCAGGTGGCTGGCTTCAAATACAGGCTAGATTGAATGCACCTGATGTTGTTTCAATTGCAGAGACTTTATTTTTCACCTGTGCTTCAGTGGGGTTTCTCTTTAGATTCAGTTGCCCTCCAAAGCCAGGATATTTGACTAACAGATGGCGAGTAACAGCTGTGACCTTACCATAAACAAGGTGTCTGTAGGTAGCATGCAGCTGAACAAGCCTGATTTCTTTCTCTTAGAGCTGGACTTTATAGTTTCCCCTAGCTTCCTGATGTTTGCAACAAACTTCTCTGCCAAACTGGGAAGATAAAGAGGGGTATGGAGGCCAGTATTCCTGGGTGGCTCAGGGAACTGAACGGTAAGGTCCACGTTCTTTAAATTGATTGAGGAGGTAATGCTAGAGCCTGTTCTGACTTGGGAAACTTTAGAATAAACATAGCACTTGGTGAGTGTCCAGTAGAGGGGGATCCAAGCAGGGTTGTGACTCATGCCTTTTCCCAGCAATTAATTTAAAAATAGAATTGAAATTGAAATATGTTTTGAAGGTCAGAATGTCAGGTCAGTGTATGTCTGATAGGTTTTCATGGGTAAGGTGTCCACAGAGGACAAAGCATTCTTCATTTTCAAATTCATTTTTGCTGGCCATATATTCTGAATGTGTAGAAAAGGAATTTTCTTTGTGTTATTTAGTGCAGGGAGAAGAGACATTAGCTCTGTATAGCTATTTTCTGGTATATTTTTTGAGTGCACAGCTACTCTGTCACTTCTGATAATGTGGTTTCATAAAATTTTGCAGTGACCTTATTTACCTGTTTTTCTAGATAAAAATCTACAGCGCAGTTGCTAACTGATCCTGAACTTAATGACTGCTTTAGGGAGAGGCTGTAATCATTTTACTCGTGCATGTTTTAACCTCTTACTCAGACTTGTTAAGTCAGAAACATTAAGAAATGGAATAAGTTTCAGTATGTGAACAGGAAGCTCCAGACTATACATTCTGAAATTTTTCACAAAAACTGCAGATATTTCAGTTACATCTTTAAGTCTAAGAATTTACATGTCATTTTTGTTTTAAGAATCCAGCATTCTGCCAAAACCTTTTCGTTAATGGTGGATGGCTATTTTGACAGTTATGCCCTTTTTTTTTTTTTTTTTTTTTTTTTTTTTTTTGTGGATGTAAAAAAAAAAAAAAAAAAAAAAAAAAAAAAAAAAAGTTCTAGGAAAAATATTAAACCC